GGGTCATAATCTCAGGGTCCTGGGATCGAGCCCCATGCTGGGTTCTCTGCTCAGCGGGGAGCCTGCTTCCCCCTCTCTATCTCTGCCTGCCTCTCTGCCTACTTGTGACCTCTGTCAAATAAAATCTTTTTTTTTTTTTTAAAGATTTTATTTATTTATTTGACAGAGAGAGATCACAAGTAGGCAGAGAGGCAGGGAGAGAGAGAGGAGGAAGTAGGCTTCCTGCTGAGCAGAGAGCCCAATGTGGGGCTCGATCCCAGGACACTGGGATCATGACCTGAGCCAAAGGCAGAGGCTTTAACCCACCGAGCCACCCAGGCGCCCCTAAATAAATAAAATCTTAAAAAAAATAAAAGATAATTCTAATTTTAAGCATCAACATATGCATTTTCTTTAATCCTATTTTAGGTTGAGCTTAAAAAAGTACTACCAGGAATTTAGCTGGACGTGTTTTTTTACTAATGAAAGCCTAAGCAGAATTCCAACTGCAGCTCAAATTATGTCCGGGGGGGAAAAAACATTGCTCAAGACAATAGGATGGTTGTCTGACTAGTAGGGGCAGGTCCCTGTATCTAGGAATTTCCATTCACCTTTCTCTAAAAGGATTCCAGAAGGAACTATCCTAGCTTACCTATACTTCATCTCTACATTTTTCAAATCTTTCCCTCTTAAGAAACCGAGATAGGCACAAATCTACACTGAGTAGGCAGGGATTCTTCCCCTTGTCTGCCTAAAACTCATTAATAAATCAAAGTTGTCAAAAGTTGCCCCAAATGGTCTCACTGTTCCTCTCTGCTCATATAAAGAAAGAAAAAAGAAAGGGAAAGAAAGAAAAGTATCCCACAGGCTGTTCAGAGGATTAAAACATTGAGCATATTTATCCAAAGATGAGGACCCAGTTAACTATCATGTTTAAATAGATACAAACTCTGCTTCCTCCTCTCTCTCTGCCTGCCTACTTGTGATCTCTCTGTCAAATAAATAAATAAAATCTTTAAAAAAAAAAAAAAGGGGGCGCCTGGGTGGCTCAGTGGGTTAATCCTCTGCCTTCGGCTTGGGTCATGATCCCAGGGTCCTGGGATCGAGCCCCGCATCGGGCTCTCTGCTCAGCGGGAAGCCTGCTTTCCTCTCTCTCTGCCTGCCTACTTGTGATCTCTCTGTCAAATAAATAAATAAAATCTTAAAAAAAAAAAAATAGATACAAACTTAGAGACTTAAAATCCAACTTCTAAAAATTTAAGTGCATAGACCAAGGGCACTTTGATAGCAACTGTAGAATTATCTTGCAAAGTAGGGAGCAATCAAACCATCACAAAAATGAGTACTGGAAAATCAGAATTTTAAATAAAAATATAAAACAAAACCATAGTATCACAACCTCCATATGTCTTTAGTTTTATAGGACCATACATACACTTCAATTAATTCCATTTGTGTAGTCTTGGGAAGAACATTTCAACCTCTCTGAATAAGAAGACATCATCTCTGAAATTCTCTATCTCAATGTTGTCTTTCAGGCTAAAGACTTTTTAGTCAATGGGATGCTTCATTGTTTATTTGTTTTTATTTTTTTTTTTTTAAGATTTTATTTATTCATTTGAGAGAGCAAGAGAAAGAGAGAGAGAGAAAGAGAGCACAAGCAGGGGGAGCAGCAGGCAGAGGGAGAGGGAGAAGCAGCCTCTCGGAGCAGGGAGCCTGACGTGGGGCTCGACCCCAGGACCCTGCGATCATGACCTGAGCCAAAGGCAGACACTTAACTGACTGAGTCACCCAGGTGCCCCTAATGGGATATTTTAAACGTAACTTAAAAGTCGCCAAAATTATTTCCTGAATGGCTTCCAAGGTAACCAAAACTGACCCAGATAAATTGGGGTGCAACAAATTGTTGGTAAAAACTCATTCTTGGACCTCAAGGAGTTTATAATCAAATTAGGGAATGACTATTTAAATTAGAAAAATATGAGCAAATTCACAAAGCACTGAATATAGCAGTCCCCCCTTCTCTTTAGTTCCACTTTCTATGGTTTCAGTTACACCAAGCTAACTGCTATGCGAGTGGAGACAAACGATCCTCCTTACATGTCACAGAAGGTCGAAGGCAGCCTAAGGATATATAGTGCCTCTTGTCACTCACCTAACTTCTCATCACATAGGCATTTTATCATCTCACATCATCACAAGGGGGGTAACCACAGTATGATATTTCAAGGGAGAGAGAGAGAGAGTACATTCACTTAATTTTTGTTTTAGTATACATACATATGTATATATATGTATATATAATAGTATAATTATTTTATAATTATACACATACATATGTATATATACGTATATATGTATATATAATACACACATGCATATGTATATATGTATACATAATAGTATATTTTATGTGATTATTTTTATTAATCTCTTACTGTGAATAACTTATAAATTAAGTTCTATCAAAGGTATGTAGGTAGGAGGAAAAACAAGAATATGCACAGCGTGTGGTACTATCCATGGTTTTAGGCATCTACTGGCGGTCTTGGGATGTATCCTTGCAAGTAAGGGGGGGCTACTGTAAATATCTGCTAGGTCCCATGGCACTTATAGTAAAGGTCAAGGAAGACTGGAGTAATGAGAGATGGCTTCAAAAGCAATTTTTGAACTGGGATTTCAGGCCAGGCTTGGAGGAAAGAAGAAACTGAATCAATGGAAGAAAAGGCAATGGATGAAGAACATGAGGTCTATGTTATTTCTTTACGAAGTCTATGTTCTTTCTTTAACTTCAGTCCTGACTCTGTGACTTGAACAATCCATTTATCACCAGTACCCTTCAGTAAATTCACAATTACAGAGGGTCTACCATACACAAATAAATAATGGAGATTTTCCAACTTAAAGAAGGGGTAAATGGCTTTAAGATTAAAGAAGAGGCAGCTCAAAACTAAAACAACCCCAAGCTTACGTTATGTTGCTATCATAAACAACAAGAAATCTGTTCTCTTAAAAAAGAATTTTTAAAACTTGCTTTTGCTACTTCATCATTTCTCAGTTAAAACCAACCTCTTCATGAATCCTAAATTAAATGTAAGTGTGACTTTTTACTTAGATCAGTCATAGTGTGGGAGGAAAATTTCAGAGTTCTTCTCCATCCTTCTCTCATTTGAAACCACCGTACTCTTTTGCCACTAAAAACAGTATTCATTCCACAGCTGTAGAAATAGGCTAGGCCATTTGATAGCTTCATTTATGATATAGCACCGAACTTATCTAGCAAAAACACAACACATGCATCGGTGCTTCCTTTTGTCCTGTGTATTCTAAATCTCTGCCAAAAGCAGAGGAAAGAAAGTACAAATGGACAGGATATCCTCAAATTATTTGATTTGCCTTATGTCATTCCAGAGAAAAATCTATTGTGTGATTCACAGTTAGAAATTCAAAGTAAACACTTGAAACACCTAGGGTAGTCAGGTCCTGATGCTGAAGCTGGGCCTTCTTCAACAGCACTTTGTCTTTTAAAAGGCACCCTAGGAAGGCTTTGCCTAAAGGAATGCTTTCTAGCATTCACCTACTCTATCCAACATAGTTCTTGGCTTACGAGGAAGGAGAGTGCACACCATTTTTTAACAATACCAGTAGGAACCAAGTACCTAAAAATCTATTTACATGATAAAATTAGTACAGATTAATTTAAAGTTGAGATGGCATTTTGATATTCTCAACCATTCTGACACAATTCTTTTTATTTATTTATTTTAAAGCACGAGAGAGAGAGAGAGAGAGAGAGCAGGGGAAGGGGCAGAGGGAGAGAGAGAATCTTAAGCAGATTCTGAGCTGAGCAGGGCTCAACACTGGGCTCAATCCGACCCTGAGATCATGACCTGAGTTGAAACCAAGAGTTGGACACTTAACCGACTGAGCCACCCAGGCGCCCCATTTTGATATAATTCTTTTTTTTTTTTAAAGATTTTATTTATTTATTTGTCAGAGAGAGAGGAGAGAGAGAGTAAAGCAGGGGGAGCAGCAGGCAGAGGGAGAAGCAGACTCCCTGCTGAGCAAGGAGCCGGATGTGGGACTCAATCCCAGAACGCTAAGATCGTGACCTGAGCCAAAGGTAGATGGTTAAGAATCTGCCTTTTGTATGTTATGTCTCTTAATTCGGTGTACATCCACTATAGTTCAGCAAATACTCCAAGGACCTGGTAGCATGTGTTGGATACCAGACGTGATGTGAAACTGTACTAGCTTTGCTGTGATGCCAAACACTTATTTCTATAAGTCTGTTATTACATCTATGTAAATAATAATGTGATATATGCATGGCTATGGTGAAGACTTGGGAGAGCCAACGACTATATCCCTGAGCATGGTATATGCCTTCACTCAACTCACAGCCTTTCCCTCATCTTCATTTTTTCATTATTATAGCAGTAAGCCAGATAGATACGACCCTGTAACCTGGAAGCTTACAGTCTAGTAGAAGATACAGACAATAACAGAGTAATGATGATGATGATAAGGGTATGACTACTAATAACAGCAGCTGATACTGATTTAGAACTTACTATGACCAAAGCACTAGTCTAAGCACATAGCTCATTAACCAGTCCTTACACCTTGTGAGATAAGTGACCAGGACAACAGTTGCTATACAAATATGTGGGAGTGACTCCCTAAAACTCATTCTGGAGTGGTTGGGAAAGGACATTCTTGGGATTAATACTATTAATCAGGTAAAATGATGCAGGGATGGGGGGTTGGGAGGGTACGATGTACACACAGGAATGCCCAGAGCAGAGAATGCATGCAGGGACGATCAAAGAACCAAGAGCAATGTAGTTCCGGCTGTAATCAATCTATAAATGCATGTTATTGCATGTTATACATGCAATCTATAAATGCATGTATTGGATAAGGAGTTACTGGAGTGTTAGAAAGAGGTTCTTAGGAGAGGGCGAGTTTCATGAAAACAACGTCAGCTGGTCGGCTGGCAAACCGCGGAAGAGGCGCACCTGTCAGCAGCAGCTTGTACTGGGGGATCCGCTGAACCGGCTTGAGCAGGTAGTGCTTGAGGGCCAGGTTAGCACAGCGTGGGCTCGTCTGAAAGGAAAACGTATCCAAAGTAAACACAAGCGTTCTTTTAAGGAGCAAGGGATCCAGACGCAAGTGCCCAGGAAGCCAAACTTTAGAAAGCTCAACTTTCTAACAACTCCGGGAGGGGACTCACCAGCTAGCCCACCTCTCCGGCAGGGGGTGGTCTCTGGAGTCAGCGGCTCACTCCCATAGACAGGGGTGGCTGCAGCCCCGTGCTCCAGGTCAGTGAGGGCCCACCATACTCAGCAGTGGCCACTTGAGCAAGTATGTGCCAATGTATTCACAAGCACAAACAAACCCCAAAGAATTGCATGGTCCTCAAGATAAGGCAGAAGACATAAAGCTACTGGGAAATGGATTCAAATAATAAGCAGAGCCTATGGTCAGTAGACCCATGATAACAACTGGTGGTAGTGGGGAGCACTGCAGAAATTAAAGATAGCCTGAAAAGCAGCCCTGCTAAGCACATGATTTCCAGTAAGCCGGATGGATGTAAAATTTCTTTCTCAGACGAATGGCTCTAAAAAACAGTTCCCAAATCAGCTACAGAGAGACTTGATTTCAGAGCCATTCTGACATGACCAAAAGGACATCTGATTTCGCCTTTAAAGCTCTTTTCCTTAGTAGGTAAAACAGACACTTCTGCCCAATCCTGGGCTCTGCAGACATTCTCCAACACCAAGACCGTACTGTTTGGTGGCATCAAAATGGCAGAGTGAAATCGTCGCTTCATCCTAACACGTCCTGTACTTGTACTTCCTCCACAGCTCAGGTGCGTGGGGAAGGGTTTTCTTAGATTTGCTCAGATCATTTCTGGTTTTTCTAACTATGCACCTCTCGGGTCTGGTACACAGACTAATTAGAAAGTTATAATGATACTGCATTTAAGAAAGCATCTAGCATGCAAGCATCATTAATCAAGACAGCTAATTTTCCCATCTTATGTTTTCTTTTGCTGCCAAGGCAACGGAAAAATGCACTGGACGCTGATAAAAACCTGGGTCAATGATCAGTTGCCATAGCTATAGAAATCACACTTCCTTTCTTAATAGCAAGAAGACATCAGAGGAGAGGAAAAGAAAAAAAGGGAAAAAGACAACAAATGATTTTAATTATGTGTTTAATGTACAAGTAAGAATCAGCAATATCATAATACTTCTAAAACTTCTCTAGTTTTGGGTGACTGGAATTCGCTGATTTTTGTTTTTGTTTTTTTTTTTTTTAAGTTACAAAAGAGAGAAATGAGTATTAAAACATAATAATTCACATTTTATCCAAGATTGGGGGAAGGACTTAAATAAGATTTTAGTTAAAACTAATTTTTAGGAGATGTATTACATCATTTATCCCCAACCAAATCAGGTTTGTACTCTTTAGCTTTGAGTGCAAACACAATGCTTTTTATAAAGATGTCATTAATTTTTCTTAACTTTGACACTGAACCTGTGTTATTTATTTATCTAAAGGGAAACAAATTACATTTCCCATCCTTCACTGTAGATCAGTTGTTAGAAGAATAAAAGGAAAGGTTGAGTTAAAAATAAGAAATGTTCCTAGAGTAGTCAAATTCAGAGACAGAAGGTAGAATGGTGGTCACCAGGGCCGGGGGAGGGGAGAATGGGGCGTTGTTTTAGCCATAGTTTCAGTTCTGCAATGTTAAGATGAAGAGAGCTGTAGAGATTGGCTGCAAAACAATGTGAAGGTACTTGACACTACCAAACTATATACTTAAAAATGGTTAAGATGGTTAAGTTTTATTTTATGTGTATTTCCCCACAATTCAAAAAAAAGGAGATCAGCATATTCTAGCATGCAATCATAGATTTTTCAAAATTAAATCTTGTACATACTTTCTCACCTTTTCATTTATTCAATCCCCTCTTTGACTTTGAAGGGATTATATTTTAATATCTTTTTTGTTTTCAATGACTGCAAATTATTACAGGTTTAAAAACAACAAAGAAAGAAAGAAGCATTCAACATTATATGGGAGCAAAAATACCTCAAAATCTCTAACAACAGCAGCAAAAGCTGGGTTCTTCTTGCACTGCTCATCCAGCAAAGCTATATTTTTATCAAATTCTTTGATGTACGTGGAATACATTTTTAGATACGGTCCCTTCTTTACAAAGATATCAGCAATTCTATGTTGTTCAGTCCTAAGATAGAGAAGAGATACGCAACAACAGAGAGTCATAGATGTATCCAGAACATATCTAGCGTCCACTGACAGTCCCCTGTCTGAGCCACTGGCATGCCCTCTTTGCTCTTCTTATAAGACATCACCTATTCTTGGGGCGCCTGGGTGGCTCAGTGGGTTAAGCCTCTGCCTTCGGCTCAGGTCACGATCCCAGGGTCCTGGGATCGAGCCCCACATCGGGCTCTCTGCTCAGCGGGGAGCCTGCTTCCCCCTCTCTCTCTGCCTGCTGCTCTGCCTACTTGTGATCTCTGTCAAATAAATAAATAAAATCTTAAAAAAAAAAAAAAGACATCTCCTATTCTTAAATGCCTACTCTTCACCGTTCCCACTGCTACCATCACATGTTGCTTGGATTTTGCCAGTCCTCTGACTGGTCTCCCCATTTCTACCATCTCATCCTTCTGTGCAGTGAGAGAGTCTAAAAACGTGTATTACACCATGTGACTTCCAACAGCCTCCTACAGGACTCAGCAGGAAAACAAACTCCTTCCCTTGGCTTACAAAGCTCCATTGGTCCTGCTGCTGCCTACTCTTCTGACTCATTTCACACTTCTCTCCTTTCTCAGTCCTCCCATACACACTGGCCTTCTTTATAGTCCTTTGACATATGGACTCATTCCCACTTTGCACATTTTTAGTAATGGCTTTGCATGCCTGGAAATAGGAAACCCCGGCCAGCTCCTTCTTTTCATTCAGATGTCCCGTTAAAGGGCTCTGCCTTTCCAGAGGGCCTTGCTTGGCCACCCAGTCTTCACTTGCCAGCACATCATCTTATTTTACATCTTTCCAAATCAGAAATTGCTTTTATCTAATGTTTCTTGTCCATTTTTCTGGTTCTCCCCCGACTAAAATGTCTACTCCATGCAGGCATGAGCCTTATCTATTTTGTGCAATGTGATATTCCTGCCAAGCTTAGAGCCCTGACCAGCACACCGTAGATAACTCACAACCTTGTTGAAGGCAGAAATGAAGTATTTCAACAGTTATTAAAAGCCAATATAAAAATAAATGTTATTTTAGAAAGCATACTAAAACCAAAGAGTATGTCTTAACTTGAAGGCCCCTGAGAGAAAAATATTTTAGTTAGTAGAAAATATCTTATCCAAGTATAAGAAGAGTTTTGTGCTAGTAAGTGTAGTTTTCCCCATAATTATTGTTTTAGCTGTCCATTTCATCAGTTAGTCTGTTTCTTAGGAATGCTTAATACTTTACCACAGAACATCTATCGATCTAAACTTGAGAAAATTTTCAACACAAGCAAAAAATAAATTTAAACCTCCTTTAACACCCACTTACATAAATATGCATATCCTTTAAAGTAAGTAGTTTTAAAGATAATTTTTATAAGAATGACAAAGTATTTATAGGAATATTCTTTGCAATTATATTTTATTTCTATCATGACTTTTAAAAATACCTTTTAGTCATTCCTCAGTCCTTAACCCTGTGTTATTTTACACTTAGGCTGCAGCTAGGAATTAATCACTCATCTAACATATTTTCCCAACATGCAGAGGCATGATATTTCCAAAAGAGACAAGAAGTATTTTTCTGGAAAAGAAAACTTACAAGGAAATTTTGATCATGAAAGTAGGTGACATTATTTTGTTATTCTAATCATTTGGGGTTCCCCAGGGACAGTAAGTTCAAAACCCCTAGAACAAATTTTCTACATATTTCCAAAGATGTCACCAAAGTGTCTGCTTACTTTCTATAATCCAAAGAAGCAGCTTACCAGTCTTTTCCAGTTTGGAAATCTATAGCCTAGATGGTATCATAGATAGATGGTATCAATGTAAATTTTCTAAACCAAACAAACCTATTACCTCAGTGAATGGCTGCTTTTCCAAAATGTAAAGAAAGATTCATGATGTTCCAGAAAAGATAACAAAGCATTTAAAAACATTTCAGTGTGAATATATCAAGTAAACTCCCTCAACCTCAAAAACCTTGATTATCAAAGGTTACCTCCAGAAAAGTTAAATTGGCTGAATATATGGACCCTTCTTGTTTTCGAGGCAATATTACCAAAGAATTTAAACATTCCTAGAATTGAGTTCAGGGCATCAAGGTTGTGAATTCTGGCCATCTAAAATGAGCAATCTAGGGGGGCCTGGGTGGCTCAGTCAGTTAAACGTCTGTCTTCACTCAGGTCATGTTTCTGGGTCCTGGGATCCAGCCCCAGGTCTGGGATTCTGCTTCTCCCTTTGCCCTTCCCCACCTCCCATCCTCCCTCTCTCTCCTGCCCCTCTATTTCTCTTGCTTGCTCTCTGTCAAATAAATAAAATCTTGAAAAAAAAATGACCAATTTACAGGTAACTGTCAAGAAAATTCAATACATTAAAACAACTCAATGTGAGGAACACCCCCTCTCTGCCACAAGCAGGGCCCTTATTATGGCTTCATTGAAAAGAGGGACTCTGGGAAAGCTAGTCAGTCCATTTTTACCAGTTTGACATCCTTTCCTCCAATTCCTTCAGGAGATCCCGGTTGAGCTCATACAGCTGAGGCAAGTAGTACAGGATCTGATTTAGGATCCGGTCCTCAATCACGGGTTTCCCAAGTTGCCTGGAAGCATGGGCCACTGCATCTCGGAAATCCTATTACAGTTCAGAGAAGAAAAAATAACATACACAGAAATATAATTGATATAAAGCTTCCCCCCCGCCCCAGTGCTTCTCTTTAATACAACATAAATCACAAACTATTTTCCATGTAGAATTACAAATCAAAAGTGCCCACTTCATTGTCTCCACTTAGCTAGACAGAAACAAACAAAACAAACAAAAAACCCACCACAATAAAGTGGCTAGGGTAGACCTTTGGTTTTAAAACAGTCTGTATAGTATTTCTCTTAAATCTTTTGATCTCAAAACTTTGTAATTATATTAAAGGGTATCTGGAAATTGGATTGCAACTCTTAGTTGCCTTTAAACTTATTCCCATAGTGCTATATGAACACAGTCCATTCATTTTAGGAGTCCCCAAGAGATCTTTCTTAATTTTATTCTGGAAAGTCCCTTTGTTCACTTTCAGTAATTATTTCCCAACAACAAGAGCATTCTAGGTAAGGCACATGGAGGAGACCATCACATTCTTGATAATTAGAGAATACTGGATCCAGTATTACAGGGTATCTTGGGCTAGACTCATTTCCCTCATCTGTTCAGTGGGTTTCGAGACTTGCATATCACACATCATCAGGTAACACACTTAAAGCTTTTTGCAACATGTGTGGCACACAGAATCAAAAAAATATTTTCACTGTGGACCTTAAACTCTCCTCTCCCTCCTACTGACTTCTCAGTAAATTCACCAGGATTTCGTTTCCACAATATAAAAAATTTTCTCCTTGTATATTATCTTCTGTCAACTTTTCCCTAGAAAATTATTTACATACCATGTTTTAAGACAAGTCCACATCATTCCATCCTGTCAACCCAGAGGACTTGGGAAGGGTGGTGGTGTCTGAGATCCTAATTGTCTGGTTTCACCCTATCTTGAGGCCCACCCTCAGGGGATAAGTAAAACAATAGTGGAATCTGTTCCAAAGTCCTAAGGACTCAAAAACAGAGAATGTTCCTTCTCAGAAACAGCAGGTTTAATTAAAACCTTAAAGCAAAGGCTGGGTAAAACAGATTCTCTACTAGGCTTCATCTTCCTTTATGTTTATTTCAAATACCTTTCCCTTCAGGCAATGGGCAAGTGAAATAGACAAAAAAATACAGATTTCTCCTCTGATCCCTTCAAACACTTGTGTCCAACATACATACATTAATCATAGGCACTTCGCATGCTTCTTGTGAAGGACAAAAACCTTGTGTAAAATTTTAAAAGTACACGAAAGGATTCCTTTCCTAAAGGATGGTCATTTCAGATAATTCAAATCCTCCTGTGCAGAACAGGTGCTAATAAACACTTCACTCGGGCTTCAGTATCTGGGACTAACTTTATTGGTCCAATAGTCACAATGGCCCAAAGGAACCAAGTATATACAGTAGTAACTAAAGAACTACTTTTACAGCTAATTACTATAGTATAAAATAGGAATTTGTAACTTGCATAAACTCCAATCCAGAAAAACCGCACAAAACATCTCCAGAAACCAAATGGATATTGGCCAAATTCCACCTCCCAGCAGCTTGTTTCTATTAGCATTCACATTTACTAAGAGAATATAGAGCTACTTAATGCTTTTGAAAGTCATTAGATTTTTCCATCAGGCAGAACTACAGAATATATTTACATGTTACAAATAACTTCCTCAATTCTAACAGTATTCAAAGCACAGGTAAACATCTTCTATAGTACTTTCTTTCTTTGGGACCAGTTTAATGATTAATATAACTTAAATGCAAAAATTCCTTGTTCAGCAAAGCAATGACCACTGCCCTTTCTTCTGGTAGAATAAATGATGAATATGTTTGTCCCCTGGCAGCAAGATGACTTTTATTTTCCAGCTGGAAGATATTTCCTCAGTCACAACAGTGACAGTAGCCATTAGCAGCTGAGTAGCTTAAGGACCCTATTTGACACGGCTTTTGCCAGACTCTTGCATTCCATATGTCTGCCACCACTGCCAAAAGGGAAACTTGTTTATTTAAGAAACATTCAACAGAAGCTAGCCAAATTCACACTGGGCTGACCAGTGAGATGGCTGCCTCTAACTGGAGGCGTCTGTCACATATCAGGCAAAGCATCACTTTTCCCAGTATTACTGGATGATGGCAGGTAGCTCTGGATGAACTAGTGGCCCATACTGTCCTTGTTAAAATTATGAGTAGCACAAAAAATATAATAGAAATTTAATAATTAAAAGAGCAAAAGAAGAACAATTACTAGAGATGATAGGAATTTATAGTTTCTATCTAGCTATCTATTACAGATTATTCCTAGGACCCAGGAAGTTACACATTCTTTTTTTTTTTTTTAAGGATTTTATTTATTTATTTAGAGATAGAGAGCATGCGTGAGTACTTGCACACACACATGGGAAGGGGGGAGGAGCAAAGGGGGAGGGTGAAGGAGGGGGGAAGAATCTCAAGAAGACTCTGCTGATCATAGCGCCCAATGCAGGGCTTGATCTTACGACCCAAGATCATGACCTGAGCCGAAGCCAAGAGTTGGACATTTAACTGACTGAAGCAGCCAGGTGCCCCAGGAAGTTACAGATTCTAAGCAGGCATTATTACGGCCATCGATTAGCCTTCATGGTACCTTTATGAAAACAGAAAAGGGTACCCCTTACCCCAGGCCAATGCAACTCACACCAAGGCCTTCATAAGAGCACACAGCAGCTCTGGCCCAAGGCTCATCCCTTCACCTCTTGGGTCATCATCCCCTGAAAGCAATGGACTATGGCCCCAGTGTCAGATGTAACTAATTCTCACAAGAACTACACACAGAATCTTTAACTTCTCAGCTCTTCATGAACCTCAACATTCTCCAGAACTGGTGCCACCAGAAGGAGGAAAGCATTTTTTTCTTTTTAAATAAAAAGGATAATTACAACATATGTCTGGTTATTTTTCCAAATGCTAACAGCCAGGATAATTTGGGAAAGTGTGATGACACTTCAGAGCCAGAGGCAAAACTATTTTGGGGCAGAAGAATTTAAATTCCCAACATCTCCTTGACTAAATCAGTGAGGATGCAAGACCACACGACTGGCACTTCAAAAATTAGATCCAGAGTATCCTTTTCCACACTGGAAAAGCCGGGTAATTAAAATCAAAGGGGGGTGGGAAGTGGGGTGTGAAAATGTGAGGCAAGCAATAGAGGTTACTGGAATCGACCACATGTACTTCAGCCTATGCTCCCAACATAAACCCTACCAAAGATTCTGTATGTAAAACGGAACCACATACACTCAGGTTTCCGATTACAGTAACCAAATGTGTGTTCAACTTGGCATTTTTAGAAATAGCAGGAGGCTCCTGAATTATAAAGCATATCATAATATTATTCTTAATAATTCCCAGAAAACCTACAAATGAGAACCAGATCAACTTCTAAAACACACTCAGTGCCTTTGAGGTATTAACACACCAACCTCACAAGCTCTGATCGCCTGGCAAGATCTAAGCAAAAATCAATGCAGATAAAAAAAAAAAATCAATGCAAATAAAGTCATGTATGAACATCTAACGCAGTGAAGCATAAAACAGATGGTCTTACTCATCGGGTCAGGCTTTACATCTCTGGTGCCAAAGAGAAGTAAGTGACTTAATGAAGCTGTCCGGACTGGGCTTCCTGACCTGAGGGCATTATTAACCACTATGATGACACGGTGGATTACAAAGACTAAATGGACATATGGACAGATGGGGAACTCTGCAGGGCTCCCTGCTTTCATAAAGGGCATGAAGAAGCACTTCGTATTAATAAGCAAAAGCAAAGCAGCTGCAAAAGTCAAAGAGCTTTGATAAATATGCAGAAAGGGGTATGAAACTATGAAGTAAATGTAGAGGGGGTAGAAAGTCCTAACATTAACAATTTGATTTTGTTTTTAAATTAAAATATCTGACCAATGAAATGATTCCTCCTTCTTGATATGCTTAGACCTGGTGATACTATGCATCGTCATCACTGCGTTCAAACTGTATAAAACATGACCAAAACCAATCCTTTATCTCCAGTCTCAATCTCCCTTAACAACATTAACAGGCAATCATCCTAATATATCCTAAGTGACAAATATATAGCCTCATTCTCCTCTTCAGAAGATGAAAAACTAGAATTTCTCTGGTTTCATGAGCCAACTGAAAGAATTCTGAAAACAAGCTCATATACCCAAAAATATACTACTATTCTCTGTATGCTAGAAATTTCAAGTAATAATTTTTAATCAATTTCTAAACAATCACTAAGTGCAAAGTCTTAGAGAGACCTGAATTCAAAGTCTGGCTTTGCCATTTAGCAGTGGGTTACTTTTGGCAATTAGTATTCTTCACTTAAGAAACAGAAATAACATGCATTTGACAGGGTTGTTATGAGGATTAAAATAGACAATTTATGTAACATAGTTTGAGCATGTTTCAAGGCACACAGAGAGTGCTCAGTAGAAGGCCATTTATTTAAGTAAAGAAGATCTGGTTAATGATGATCGCATGAATGTCATTTATAATCCACAAGTCCCTCAAAGTTTGGGAAGAGACACTGAAGTAGAAGCATATCACAAGAAGGAAATACCAAACCAAAGTAGGGAAAACAAACACCTCAGCAGTAAGACAAAGGGGCTCTTAACAATGAACTTCATTCAGTGAAGGGCAGTCACATGAAGGAAGCTGCTCAAAAAGGAAAGGTTAGGCAGCCATGTGAAGAGATGCTAAAAAAGCATTCTTTACCACTAAAGAACAAATAAGTGATAATTAAATGGTTAACAAGACTCAAAAGACAGGGTCTATTCAGAACAGGATAAAGTTATTTTAAGATTGGAAAAAACTGAAAGGTTCTGTGAGAAAGTCTTCTATTCTTTTTTATAATGCATTAAAAGAAAAAGAAGAAAAGATATATTCTAGTTATTGACACACAGATGTCCAAGTAACTTTGCCTCTAACTCCATGGATTTCAATGAGAGTCCTTCAAATTTTTAAGGTAA